AAATCGTTAACATACCTAAATAAATAAATATAATTATTAGTTATATTATTATTAAAGCAGATTCAAAGATTAGATTTCTTATGAAACTTAAATTCATTATTAATGTAGTTCACTTTTTTATTACTTAAAAATAACTCCCGCACTAGCAATTATTACTGTGAATCATAAACATTGAAGTCCATACTAATATTATAAATGCGAAAGTGTGTCTGTCTGTCTGTTACCTCTTCACGCTTAAACCACTAAACCGATTTAGATGAAATGTAGTATAAAGATAATTTGAGTTCCGGGAAAGTTATTAGCCCAGATTATATCCAATAGTTTTTATCACAGAAATCATCATTTAAGGAGGGGTAAAATGGGGGTAGAAGCTTGTATATGAAATGAATAGCCGCTGAACCGATTTAGATACAATTTGGTATGGAGATAGTTTAATTCTTGAGGAAGAACATAGACTACTTACTTACTTACACGCGGGCGGAGCCGTGGGCAAAACCTTGTAACAAACAATATTTTGGAAGTTCTTTCTCTCGAAACAGCTATCTGTGGATCACACAATTTTTGTATCGTGTAGGGAATCGAACCGATAACACGGGGCGCAGCTTAGTGGCAAGGTTTTTACAACCACTATTACCACTTCGCCCTACTTAATTGTTTAGGGTTGTGTCATCACCGGCAGGCACCGGCACCGAACTTGACATCCATTACGATTTGGTTTGATAGTTTCCTTTTTTATAATTCTACAAATCTGTAACTTAATTAGTACTTATTTCTAATTAGTGAGAAGACCAACTACAAAAGCGTTCAACAGTTCTAAAATGTAATTTCGAAACATGCGTAATTATCCAAGTAGTTCAGTTAAGATTGTATGGCATATTGCAGAACGTAAAGGTTTTAATCCAATGATAATAAAACCCAACTAGTCATTACTTACTTAGTATTATAAATGCGAAAGTAACTCTGTCTGTCTGTAACACTTATACGACTAAACCGCTGAACCGAATTTAATTAAATTTAGCAAGGAAATATTTTAATTATTGATAAAGAACGTTGACTACTTTTAATGCGATAATCGACTTAGGTATAGGCGGAGCCACGGGTAAAAGTTATTAGTTAAAGTAAGTATTACACATGTCAGACTAAATAATTCCCAATGGAATAGCCGACAAATTCTAGCACTACGTTTTACCGATGGGATTTAAAAAATTGACCAATCAATATTTCGGAGGTTATTACCTATATGTACAAAAAAATACCTATATGTACAAAAAAATACCTATATGTACAAAAAAAATATTGGAAATCCATTCAAGATTCAAATGGAATGACATTAGAATTTATATATTTAAAAAAGTACAAAGTCTTTAGCTGAAGATTAGCAACACTGTTGTACAAGTTTCCCACAGAGATTTAACAAGGAGACCGCGCGCCGGCTGCACGCGTCACAAAAATAGCCCACAGTGGTCGAAAAATAAAATTTTCCCTAAATAGACGGAAATATACAAAAATGTGAGGCAAAGAGCGAGGGGCGAACGTGATGGCGTGCCGTAATGTGCGCCCCTAATTAAAACGTTAAAAACCGACCGTTTCTGAAAAACGTCAATTTCGAAGAGAAATGTGCCGTCCAAAAGATCCCCTTTCATACTTTTGTTCCATTTATTTTTATCATTTGAATCCTCAAGAGAAACAAATTGCAAAGAATATATGTAGCATCACAAAGTTAAAACTTCTATTTTTAACTTATCCCATTTGAATATTGTTTCTTAAAAGGCAGCTTGTAGGTACTGTGCTTTATTTTGTTCCATTAGCATATTACAGCGTTAATTTAACCGAAGTGTTATAATTCCTTGATACCTGTTATAACTCATTTTTTAAGATATGTTTAGAAAACTGCTATTTTCTTCTGAAAATAGTTCAGTTTTAGCCGTTGTCTTTGACAACCTATTTTCTCTAAAATTTTATTTTATTTTATTTATTAGCTATTAAATAGTTTTATCATCAATACAAGGATGTTATTAACGTTTTAATGAATAACGATAGAATTTCGACATAACGTCGACAGTCGGTTTATCATATTATCATCAACAGCCTTTAATAGTCCACTGCTGGACATAAGCCTCTCCTGAGAAAGGAGGTTTTGGCCTACTATTCATTATATTATCATATTATAGACGATTTTAATAAATTACTAGACGTTTTTGATCATAACTATAACAGATATTCTAAACTAGAGTCCTTAAAATATATCTTGATACCGCTGACAGCTAGAAGCAAATCCGACGACATAACTTTGAACCGATGTAGTAATGACACTTTGGTTTCACAACAATGACAATCTCGATTTTTCAAAATTAGTAATACACTAAGAAAGGCTAAATATATTTATTCATAGATTCCTGATTCTTGCCTAAAATAGAAATATAAAACTTATTTTGTACACATTAAAATGATTGATAAATTTAGAATTACGCGCCAACAATGTTATGCCAATGGAAAAAAAACTAGGAATGAGATGAATCCGTTAGCTTAAATCCATAATTTGATTGGTAGGCTGATTTTTAAAGTTAACAAAAATGAAGTTCTTTTCAAATTTTTTAACTTTAAAAAATCATTATAAACAAAATAATAAACTTTAATTTACTTTTATTGGGTGACCTTGTTAAGTATAAGAAGGGCTCCACGAAGCCAAATATTTATAGATATATTATTTAAACTTTTATGTACTCATTTAAGATAACAGAGATTGGAAAAAAAATTAACAATAGTACAACTTTTTCAACGTCCAACGGGGAAATTATTCTCTCAAGTGTCTAAATGATACCATAATTTATTCAAATTTTTAAATACTTTATTAATTTTAAAATAATATTTGTGGTACACTGTCTTTAGCGGTAGTGCACCTATATCGTTACGGCTGGGCGGAGCCCTATTACCGACGTTGAGTTAAAATTATAAATAACTAGCTGACCCGGCAAACGTTGTTTTGAGATATACATTAGATCTAGGAAATATTGAAAAAAAAATTTTTGGGGCCACCCTTATCATTTAGGGGTATGAAAAATTGATGTTGGCCGATTCTCAGACCTACCCGATGTGCACACAAAATTTCATAAAAATCCAGTCCAGCCGTTTCGGAGGAGTATGGTAACTAATATTGTGACACGAGAATTTTATATATAAGATCCGGATGTCGGAACTTGTTACTTGGAAATTTCCTCCTCTTTAAGGATATTAATTCATAATTCTTTAAATGTTCATAATTTTTGAATTATTAACAAAATAACGAAATGCTATCTTTTTTTCATCTTAATTTGTTAATAACAATTGCAATTTTTTATGTGCTAATATATACTTTTTTCTAGACGTCATTCCTAATCGATCGCTCATATTTTAAAGAGCTTTATCAAGAATTAACACGTTTTTGAACTTGTTGACTAGCCTATGGGAATGACACTGTACAATGTACAGTTCGATTTAGTTTGTGATCAAGAACTTATAGGATCCTTACAGCAACGACGACTGAAGAAGATTATTTGGGTTGTACGACTTAAGAAAAATATTTTTTGTAATTTTTTTAGGACCTATAAATTTACCAAAATATTATCATTCGATTACAGTCTATACATGGAACCATTTATGTCATATAACTAGTGATTGTTTTGTGACATTTGCCAGTCTCCATAGTGAATATGCTTTGGATGGTTCTGACATCGGCAGAGGCATCCAAATCTAAACTCATTATATTACCTACTTTCTAACGTTGTTCCTCATTGTTACATTATTTACAATGTTAGCTACTAGGAATCCGAGATAAGTTTTGTGTAATCTTTATTGTTTTTCTTTGTGTGCACATATTAGTAACGTTACGATCCAGATCAAACGATGTACCTATTTATGATAAATGTTTTAATTGATTGTAACGTGTTTCGTGCATTTGATAAACAAAAATAATAAAGATAGTACGCACGAACGTTTGTACCGAATCATGCTCACTAGCACTAACTCTACTTGTATGATGGCAATATTTTGTACATGACTAAACTGCCACGTGCCATTGCCACAACAGGGCTTAAAGTGGTTGAAATCGAAAACCTTGTTCTAAAACCCCTTTGGACCCCCAGCTCCTTGGGGACGCAGAGACCACAGAAGAAGAGTATGTGGTGTTCCTACTAAAAACCATCCCGACCTGTGACCTGAATCACAGACCATGTGATTCAGGTCCTCCCGAGCCTTCCGAGTTTTCCGCGGGGCGGTGAGTTGGTGTGCCACACTGCGCCTGAAATAGGAGGGATCTGAGAACAGTTGTTATTAAAACATCACAGGTACATTCTCTATTTAGGCAACATCCGAAACATGCAGACGTCTCCCCCTCGCGGCGATACAAAGACATCTGGATCGGCCTAACCAGGCCCTATCCTGGTAGAAGCTGCAATCCTCCCACCGCCAATCGACCCTTCCACTATCGCCCGATCGCATTTTGATGCGATCAGGCTGCCACCCCATTCCTTACAGCAACTTCTAATATGCCACCAGGGCTGATATCACCGGCCACGTCTTCTGCCCCTTCTGTAACCTTCAATTCAAATCTGACACATTTACTCCCGAATAGGCACTACCAGTGCTGTCTTAATATCAGTTTTTCTTGTGGCATGAGGGTACTTCCCCAATACAAAAGCTTTGACATACCTACTGTACCTTATAATAATTTTAGGAGCTCCCATCAAGCTATAGGCGAGGGTGAAAAATAACAAATTGAAAATCAAGGTTCTGGTATTGTCTGGGTGTGTACCGTGTGCATGTTTACAGCCTTAAGTTTTTGTAAATATTTCAGCTTATCAAATACTTTTTGTATGTAATAATAAATATTGTCAAAAGCTGGCATATCTTCAATGAAAGGTAAAGTTGATTTACGTATTCGTGCAAATTGTTAAGTTTCGGATTTAGTGAATGTTTGAAATGCGGACATAAAACGAAGGGATAAATCTAGCCGTTAAATCGATATGCAGATCTGCATCGACATTCATTACCTAATTAAAATCGCAAGCCCCTTCCGCTCGCTACATTTCTCCAACGCGCTGCCAATAAATTTCACCCGCCAGTCGCCCCATAACGATAACCAGTTCCTCGGGAACTATCGTTCAATCTGGCGTCGATGCCGTATGTTGATCCGGTCGTGTACCCGCCGCTCTTCGCAGACGGCGCTGTCGATACCTATGTATTATTTAGTGGCAGCACTAGGCCCGCGCCCGCGGCACACGCACAGAGCCGGTGAGCGCCACACCGCACCGCACAGAGCTACGCACACACCCGCCGCAAATGTCTCGAGCCACGTCAACCCACAGATAACGAGCTCACATATTCATAAAGAATAAAGAATTATCCAACAGCCTCTTCACCCCCCTTACCCTCCCCCTCCCTTTTTGATCGTAATGCTCTCATTCACACTCTCCGGACGATCTCGATCTATCCGTTCCCCTCTAAGAACTTGATAAGAAAGACACTTACGACGAGCGCCCTGGAATTGGATTATAGACTTTAATTTATTCCGAACAAGAAATATTTCATTTATCGTTAGCACACGCTCATGAAACTCTTTAACTCCCGGCAAGACGCGGTCGAGTCGTTTTAAAACGATCATTCTAGTCTGAGACGTAACGACCGGTTTTAATTCTTACATCCATGATACGAGAGACCATTTCATCGTCGAGTCGAATCGGACAAAAGATCATTGTAAAATTAACAAGTTTCAGGGTCCAACCCTCGAGTCTGCATCTTTATGGGCGACATATTTGATTCGAAAACTTGTTATGCTTCGTCCTAAATAAATTATAACGAGAAATTGTAATCATTAAATGGATATATTTAATGTGTGTAGACGTCGTCGGCCGGCGCGGTGCGAAGCGGTAAGCGGCCGCGCGGGCGAGCGGCCGGTGTGCGATGCGCGTATCGGCCTACACAAATGCGCGCTCCTCTGAGATAGCTCGCAGAAATCTTCGCGACCTTTGTTGCTACTTTTATGTTTCTCTGCAATGATTTATTGCCTCCACTTGAACTTTGGTAGCGGTTAATCGTCGATTTTCACTCTTCACTGTAGAGCCGAGTATGGTGTTTATGGACACACAGGTACACAAACATAAAATAACCCCTCATTAATAAGGAAAAGGTAGCCTATTCAGTAATCTTACAGTATGAAGTAGGAACGTCGATAACGGTAAAAGTTTGACGGCCCTCGTGATAGAATGTTTACTCACTTCACAATATTAATTTAAGACATCGAGACAGTTTTATATGAATATGGAAGCAAGCAAGTATTTCATTAATTAAAATGGAAAATATTTATTGGCGTAGGCGGTAGATCCAGTTTAAATGAACTCAGTATTAAATACGATCTGTTGTAGAATAATTGTTTATCTGTTTCAAGAACGTGCCTAGCTTTTAAATCAAATTAATTTATATTATTACTGATCAATAAACATCTTAAAGGAATGTTATGTGCCAACATCTACATTTTATGTGCTTATGTATATACCTATATGTAAATGATTCTTTGTTTTTATTTTACAGAGGCCTTTCAGTTTTTTTAAAAGTCTATATTCTTAAAACCAGATCTTTTCATAGTAGGATAAATAGACACTCTTCAGACACTAGTTCAGATTCTTAATGTGATTAATGTAAAATTCAATGAATGTTAGTAAATTATATCGCAGTCTTAGTATCTATTACAACTGCATACAATACATATAATTGTGCTACTTGTAACATACGTATATATACATAGGTATATAATAATCTAAAGTATACAAATATTACTCACAAGTGATTAATAAAAAGTAAAATCGACGACGTGTTGAATACACAAAAAGCAAGGCGATATGCGTTCAAATAAAATTTAATATAGTGATCGTTAACACTGTCCCGTCCGATATTAAATAAACAGCGGCGAAGGAGTAAAAATTAAAGACAAACATAAATATCAAAGAAAAAACCTTTGAATCAAACTTGTAGCGACGAAACGACCGACAACTCAACGAGCGCTTTTGACGATTGGAAAGAAATCTGATATTTTCCATCGGCCATAGTTCCATTGTTACCTTACAAACTGAATATTTATCTTGTATAAGACTATTTTATGAATGGACAGTTAAACAAGCGTTGTTATTTACGCTAAGGGCCTCCACACTATTTTATGTAATTGTGAGTTAGCATTAAATTATGGGTAAATACTTCTCGATGGGGCCTCATAGTATCTCTCTGTGTCGACGTGGGACTTACAATCCTGCACATTGAGTCAATGAACAAGCTGAGATATATTTACTTAATACCTATAAATTTGACAACACCTTTATGTATATAAATTACCCGAATAGTACCGAAAGATCATATTTTATCGTAGGTCTCATATTTTAGAGTGGTTTCAAGCTATTTTTAACCGACTTCCAAAACACAAAAGAGGAGGTTATCAATTCGTCTGTATGTTTTTTAGTATGTTTGTTTTATTTTTTGAGTTGTGTATGTTTGTTTGTTGTATGATATCTCCGTCAATTATGGACCGCTTTTCAAAATTCCAAAAAAATCAAAGTAAATTACCACCAAATCAGGATTTGATTATGGGCTTTTAGAGAAATGGAGGTATAACCTCAAATTTTACAGGTCCGACAACGTGTTTTAGTTTGCTTGTCTACGAGTATAAAGGTATTTGCATTTAGTAGTCGTTATGTCATGTTGCTGAGCTGATGAAAGAAGGGACTCATTAGGAGTTAGAGGATAACTCTTTCATGCCTTGACCTTGTCTTTCATGCAAGATATTTGTTAGGTGTTTGTGTTGGGTTACAGAGATATGTGCACAAAAGACTAATATTTGAGATAACAAAACATTTAGACACAAAAAATGTTTGTTACGCAAATATTTTCATGTTTGTTACCTCAAAACTCTTTCATTTGTAAACCGATTTGGAAAATACTTTTTTTGTTTCGAAGGGTATATTTCCTAATTTTGGAAAATCAAGGAACGTTGAAAACAATATATTTACGGGTTCCAATGTAACATCTTACTACCTTATCTAAATAAAGTAACGGACTTATTAAACTATATTAAATATAATCTAACACTCTGCATTTTCGTACTATACAGTACGGTACGCAGTATTATAAATATCGTACTTTTCTAATCATTACAAACATATCTTACACTAAAAATGGTAATAAATCCTTTTAAAAAAAAGTTGAACCCACTTCAAACAATATCAGTATTGTTTGAAGTGGGTTCAACTTATTTTTATATACGTAATTATTTTTTTAATTTTTAGTGCTCTTTGCTGACAAAGAGCACTAAAAATTAATTATTTGAGCACTAAAAAATAATTAATTACAAATCAAATTAAAAAAACTATAATAAGTACCCTCAATATCACAGGCAACATTATAATAGCAATAGTCCCTTCTAGTCTGTTTGGAGCCGATGCACAATAAGTAATACTGGTCTATGTCAGCTTTATATTAGCTTAATAAAAAATTAAGAATTCAATATAATTCAAATGAAACATCGTAGATTTTGTTAATTAATAAAGATCACACATCAATTACGTGCGCAAACTTATCAACTACTTAATAAAGCAATAATTCATTGGTGATGTGCGTAATCCACTTTAGGTCGTTCAGCATGTTTCACGCAGCATGAAGACTGTTGCAGGTGGCGCTCTACATTTTATCAAGCCTATCAAGCACCTATGTGGCTTGAGACCGACTTCAAACAACCTAGACGGGACTATTGCTATTATAATGTTACCTGCTATATTGAGGGTCCTTATTATGGTTTTTTACTTAGATTTGTACTAATTTTTTTGGTTTTTAGTGCTCTTTGTCAGTATTGTTTGAAGTCGGTTCAACTTTTTTTTTAAAGGGATTTATAGTAATAAAACTCATATTTACCTATTTGGATATCTATAGAAAATAAAGTGTTTAAAGTGAGATTAAGAAACTAAAAATCATTTATTATGATATGCTGCTACTGCGAATGGTGTTTTAGTAATGAATACCATATAGGTTAGGATAGGATTGGCTTCGAAAAGCTGATTTAATAAGATATATAAAATTATAGGTTAAATTTTAAATAAGGTTTATATAGAACTCAATACACGACAAATGTGTTTTCTTTTGCTTATAGTGTGTCGTGTATACATTGCTATTAATTGTATACTTGTTTTAAGATCATACCCAAATTTGTGGTTATTAGTTAAGATTTTTAAAATATTTCACTAAAATTACAATTATTACAAGTTACACGAATATTGTAGGACATACATACCTCGGTACATATTCCTATTTAGGATACAAGGAACGATCGCCGCTTCAAAACTACCAACTAGGTACATTTTTATTACACTATGAAAAATATGTGAACATACAATTATCTTACCTTTTACTTTGGAAACTGCTTTTTTCTAACGGGTGAATATTCAATCGAGTTCGTTAAAAAATAATCATTTTCCCTTCTACCAAGAAACACAAAATTGACTACGAAATTTTAAATTTCGCTGATACGGCAACATTACTTTACAATTCTATTTGATACCCACTCTCAATCATACACAAATAAACAGACCTTAAATACACACACAATTGCAAAACACACTAGCTCACATTTTATTCACACACAAGCTTTATGTTTCCTGTTATCGGGGTGTTGCTATTGGTATCAATAAATTATTATTATTGTTATTTTTAATGTCAACAATAATATTAGTATCTAGCCTTTGCCGGAAACTTAGCTCACGCATGTTATTATGAGAATTGGAAGTAGGTACTTTTTTCTGGTTTAAAGGTATCTTAGTCCTAGTGTATGTACTTACCAAAATCTCATAATGATGAGTTATGTACCTAATGAAGGTGATAAAGCGTAACAAACAATTTCATATTCGCATTTATAGTAATAACACATTATTATTATAATAAACACTTCCTGAATAAAGACTGTGAATTATGATCCACTAGTGCTGTATTGTTAGTTAGTAGGTATTATGCGATTACCACAACTGCTTGGACGCCAGTAAATGCTTAAGAAATATTAAATAGGAAGTGTATATGTGCAAAAAGAATTAGGTATGTTTACCAAAGTTTACAGGTGAAATGAATGTGTTACGAGGAAGGCTTCAACAAAACTGGATTGTAAGTGGAGACGCATAAATTAAAAGTTAAGTTATGAGCGGTCCCATCTAACAACATGAATGAAACCGCACCTCTCCCCGACCGCCTTCACCCCGCGCTGACCCGCTCGCCCCGCGCACCGACCGCGTGTGGCCTTCTACCATTGGCATTACAGGTACGCACTTGGATGTTGTCAAAAGGCTAAAAATGAAAAATATTAATCTTATCT